GATAGATCGAATGAAGTGGATAACATGGTGTGGCTGAGAGAGGAGTGAGCGCCAGGAGGGGGGAGCGGGGGGAGTCCTTGAGATGTTGTGGAGTGGCAAGAAGCGAAGGCAAGAGACACAGCATAAAGGAGATCATGCTCTGTGATGGAGATTGGGTTTTGCCACAAGCGCTGCCATCTGTCCCTGCACGCGAACCTCGCCTGTCGCACAAACCTTATTATCACAAAATGTGGCGTTCTGCAGCAGTGGAGGTGGCGATGCTGCTGTAGCTCGTAGACTTTGTAGTCTACCACAGAGGTTACACTGCTGTAACCGCGGTGCTGCTGTAGCTCGTAGACCTTGTTGTCTATCACGAGGTAACACTGCTGTGAGATCGGTAGGCCCGAGCGAGCTTCGGAAAGAGAAATGTAGATAGATGTTCTTATCAACCGACTCCCTAGTCAGGCTTTGATGGGTGCTAGATGAGAGTGAGCACAAGGGGCGAAGGCGCGCTTGTGTCTCAGTTCAACAACAAAACAAAAAACAAGCAGCAAACACAGCAGGTTCCGAGAGTCTCCGGGGTAATGGCCCGAGTACGGGAAATTCGGGGTTCGGAACAATAAAACGACAGTCTACAGTCTCGCCTGCCAAATTGTCTCCGCTATAACTCTGTGCTCAAGTTCTCTGCTAAGTACCATCTCTTCTTTCTGTATTATGTCTACGGAAGGCTAGTTGCCGCAGTCGCACCTATGGTAATCTGCGCCTGACTACGTTGTTTCCTCGACACCTTAACCCTGATATGCGCCCCAAAAGAACTGGTGAAGACTCAATTGCAACTAATCCACTTCTCCCTGCGCATATTTTCCCCCCAGCCACTCGCTCCTTCTTGTATGCCAGCGAAACGACGATATCATGCTGCCTGTTGACCCCCTCTGCCTACTCGTCGGCGGGTGGGGCTGCCACGCTGAACCCTCCGTTGAGAGGAAGCTTTACTTAAGAAATTATCCTTCACTTTTTGCACGCATGTGCATGGACCTAGCAACGAATACAACAGTACGTGGGGACACCAGCGCCAATCCCGCGGTCGCTCGCAAGATCAACATCAGTGTACGCGGCGGCAGCATACAGATTGTGCCTGGGCTCCACAGTGGCCACTAACTTCGCCCACACGCGCGCTTTCACGTCAGGGGCAGGCATCTGTGCTTCTGGTTCCTCACTTTCTACCATGCGTCTTACTGAACATACAGCACAATTCTTCGATCCCCCAGGGACAACCGGGTGTTTGCCATCGGGGTCGGGTTTTCGTCCCTTGGCAACGACGTTGTAAAACAAGCCCCCCCTCGGTGTTTGCCATCGGGGTTGGGTTTTCGTCGCTTGGCAACGACGTTGTAAAACAAGCCAATTCACTTCGTGAGCTCGGCAACCAGGTTACCGTTTTTTTTTACCTCCGTTTTTTTTTTTGGCGGTACTGGTGGTCGAGTAGATCATGTTGTGCGGGGTGGAGAACACTCACTCCGCGCAAGGGGGATGATCGCACCACGTTGTGTGAAAATGGTCAAGCACCCTCGAGGCAGTCACACAGTGCTTACAACTGTCTCAGGAAGTGAAAGCACCAGAAAGTAAATTAAGTCATACGCAGCTGTCATCCGTACGCAAGGAAGTAAGCACAAGATGCCGAACACCCTTAGCAGGATGCAGCGCACCCTTCATGCGACTCGCCGAATATCTCACGGCGCTTCGCGCTTGGTGATGTGAGAGCCTGGTCCGGTGAGAACCCGGCGTGCTCCGTCCCGGCTTTGTAGGGATGCGAGGTCAATGGTCTAACGACTACGGCATGCACGACTATGAGTACACCCCCCCCCAGGGATAACTTTTGCCCTGCTAACCGTGGGTAGATTGATGCGTTCAGCACTGTAGGGATGCGGCAGAGGACGCCAACTCTAGGGAGTAGATTGATACGTTCACCCCAGGCACACGACAGAAACAACTCCACTTTCTCACCCGCACACCCAGAAATTTCAGTCTCTGACAGGAAGACTCATTCGCGGGTCGAAATAACCATCCGCTTTGCCATTGCTCTAGACAAACTGCCACAACAAACAACTAGGGGGGAGGCGAAACGTACATGTCTCGGAAGAGCCTAAAGCTTACGACCCTGTTTCAGTTGCTCGTGTAGAAGAACGCCTTCCTCTCCTGAGTCACGGGACGCTGCAAAGAATAAGGCAAGAACACGCTCGGTCTGTTGCTGTTGCTGCTGCTGCTTCTGCTGCTGCTTCTGCTGCTGCTGTACGGGGAGGAAGAAGTGCCGCCGGTACTCCAACACTTCCGAGTCCCCGCGCCGGCACTGCTGTCGCCTGTGTTTCTGCCGGGGGGCAAGGCACAAGTCTTCATCTTTCTCGACGACCAGGACTTCTCGTGGGCACCCGTCGCCCACGACTTTGGTCTCTTAGCGCCCCGTGGGCGTCTCGAGCTCTCGCTGCAGCGCGCTGCCGCAGACGCAGCTCCATCTCCCTCCCCTCCTCCACCCGAAGAAGAGACCGGCCCCACGCTGCTGCCCTCGGCGAACAACTCCAAGGGGTACGGCGAGCCTCTTTCTTCCTCCACACTGGTCTGGTCCGAAGGGTCTTCTACGCCTAAGGGGCAACCGCTGTCCAGAATACCTCTCCTTCCGGGCTCGGCATACTCTGGCTCGAAACCGCCGCCGCCATCGAAGTGCGTAGGAAGTACCATCCTGAGCCTGCCCCGGGGTTGTTCGACAGCGGGCGCCGTGCTGCACCGGCGTCTTCTTCTCAGCCCGCGCAGGACGCGGAAGGTGTCTACCGGCGGGCAAAGCACCTTCTCCTGTTCAAACCCCATGTACCTGTGCAAGTAGCCCCCCCGGGGGTGGTGGCAGGGCGCTTTCACCGTTGCCGCTTCGAGCGCCTCCCGGTCTGCCCACTCCCCGCCACCAGCGCGACCACGCGCGCAGCTACGTTTGCTCCCGCCGGCGCTCGTGTTGCTGCCGTTAAACGGAACCCTTCTCCCGGCTGCCGGGGCGCAGCTCTTTGGGGGAAACAGCGCGGCGTGAAGGAAGTGCGGGGCCGAGTAGGCCCGTAGAGTCGGCCTGCTTATGGTTTCCATGCTGGGATGTCGTGTGCCGCCACCCTCATCGCAATCGCCGCCGCCGCTGGCCCAGCTGAGAGGGTCCGCGCTTGCAGATCGACACCTGAGGATACCCCCGACGTGCTGCAGCATGCCCCCGCAATTGATTGTGGTGGTGGTGCTACTACTAAGGGCATCGAGTTGTGAGTAGGTACGGCGCCCGTAACTATTGCCGGCGCTACTGCTGTCTTGTTGGATGTCGCTCAATTGGTGGTGCTCTCGTTGGCCTTCAACAGGCCCCACGACGGCAGGCTGGTCGCTTCTACGCCCGCCTGGCGATGAATGGGTTCCCGCGAAGGCCTCTTCGGTCGCTGCGCCTGCCGGGTTACCGGTGCTCACATTTTCGTTCTGGAGGAAGATATTGCCGCCGGAGTCAATGCTGCACTGCTGTTTGCTTGTCTGTGATGTAGGGGGTCAGACGTAGAAGAATGGTCGGAGGGAAAACGCAAGAGCAGCCGTCGCTTGGTTGTGTTCTGATGGAATAGGTACATAGAAAGCGAAGCTTTGCTCACAAGACGGCAACCAGGCACAGCATGAAACCACACGCGACACGCGTCGAGCCAGTCGCGTTTTGGACAAGTCGTTTTAGACAAGTCTTGCGACCATTTCGCCAGCTCAAACCCCGGCTGACACGACAAGTGCTATTTATCGTGTCGTGTTTCAGTACATCCATTCACATGGCATCCTGACACTAAACGCCGCGTTGTGCATGCGGCTGTCGGTTACAGGTATCCCTGGCAACCGGGTCACTTACCCATGAAGGGTACATTGGTCCTGGAATGATGCTCGGTCCGAACCATTTTGTGCACCCTGTCTGCGAATACAGCGGCGGTGTTCCATGGAACGTGGCATGTGGTTATGACGACAGCGAGCCACCTCACACACGGTTGTGTTGTCTAGACGGCATGCATGGCGGTAAGCTACGGGCCAGAAGTGTTGTTGCGCATTTGCACGACAGCGTAGTCGTAGGGGCTGTACACGTGATATATTGCGGAGATCAACACTCAAACGGAAGTGAGATCTTGCACTTTTCTCTCAGCATGTTCTCACCGGCCCGATGCGTGGGTAGTCTCCAGGCGGCTGCCTTACGCCGGATATGTTTGACCGAAACATGATGGCGCACGCGAGTGAGTCTGACACCTGCTGCAAGAATCAGCCATCAACGTTCAAGTGGTGGTCGTGCGGATCTCCCGCAACCCCATCATCACATGTGGGCTTGCACGATGATGGCATTGCACCGGCACCATAGAACTCAGAGGAGTTTGAGTATCACGCGCGGTAGCTGCGAGGTTGGTTTTGCAGTATTGGGCAGCCTCCTTTTGAATCGGACGCCGCTGGACATGTTTCGTTCTCGAACCAACAACAGCCTCCTACTCCAACAGTGTTTTTATACGTACTGGATTTACTGCTGTATTCCAAGCGAGAGCGCCGCCTGCACTACTGCTGTGCTACCGCTGTGCTTTATAGTAAACCCACGTTGTTGGAGAATCCGCGTCTTGAAGCGCCGAGACCTCTAAGTTTCTGTCTTCCAGCTTACACACGCACATCGCATGCACAGCAGCGAGAGAATCGCACGGGTGCTGGTGTGCCCGTGCTGTGTGAGAGCGGGAAAATGGTCAGAGCGTACAAACATGCGCTGAAAATGCGGCGCAACATCGAAGTCTTTCCGAACCGGCACATGTGGGTGACACCAGCGGCTCGGGCTCTCGCCTTCCTTTTCGTCGTCAACGCTGCTGGCTATTGTACCGGCAAAAAAAGATATACCGACAAGAGACTCTCCTTTTGGCGGACCGGGTCGGTAAATGGGCGGCGCATAGAGTTTGTATTCCGAGTAAGTATCACGTGGGCACGGTAAATGTTGAGTTCGAAAATGAAAACTACATGAGACTGCTGGTTGTATCCACCTCATCCGTGGGACCGGTATATGCAGGACAGCATCTATTTTGGTTTTTAGGCACAGAAGCAACGCACATCCATCTCTATCCGTACTGGGAACGAGCAGCAGAAACAGCGTAGAAAAACAGTTGACAACAGCCATAGTCAGTCATCATGGACGACCATAAATCAGAAAATCGAACCGAACCCACAGCAGCAGAGCTTCATACCGCACTATGTTTCCTACTGTAATACCCCACACGATTTTTCTCCAAGGAGATGCAGGCATCTCGGCCCATGCCCTGCTTTGCCTTGTGGACTCTCCTTCGACTGCGAGTATTCTCATGCTACATAGCACGTTGTCGCCATCACGTTACGAACCATATTTCTTGAAGCTTCCACGAGACCGGAGTTATGTAGAACCCTATGCGTTGGTATGTACGCTTCGCTGCGCCCAAGGAACTCGCGGAGAGGTTCTCTCGCACCTCCGCATGAATGCTTCCCTCATCGTGGCGCTTAAATCGCTTGAACTCTTTGTACCAAAACATCTATTACAGGAACACGCCGAATCGCAAAAAAAATGGTTCCGCTTCTGTGAGAGCCCGCGAGAACTTCCAACGAAAAGACGACCATGCATCAACCACCGGAAAAAAACAAACCCACTTGCTATTCCTTCACCCCCGCTCTACACCTTCCAACCCTACGTTGGAAGCAGGAGGTTGCGCCGCCGGTTGAAGTCTTTCTGGTGCTACTGTATGTTGGAGGTGACCTAGGGCGTCGCCGAATGTACAAACCAAACAAAAGGCGACGGATCCAACTCATGTACAGCCCTGGCAAACTTGCCCATGTTCTCTGGTATACGCCCCGTCACTCGAGTCGGAGACAAAAACCCCAAACAGCCAACAACACGAATTTTGGTGCCGTCACAACCACCCATCAACAACATGCGACCTCACACCAACGCTGTTAGTACGGGAAGTGACACACCACTATTTCAAACAAAAACACAGATTTAGAAAACAGCAACAAAACTGACGGTTTTTCATCACGTCGTCGACAGCTACACATGTACCCAACCGCCCGAGAGTCCCGTTGGGCACGACAAGGCGTGCGACGACGACTCTTAATTGACGGTTTCGAGGAAGGCCGTGGCGGCTTTCTCGTAGTCCCACCCGCACTGCTCCAGCCGCACCTCCGCAGCATATCGGTCAGACACCCCCATCAGAGACATCATGTCTCTGACCTTCTTAGTCTTCTCCGCGTTTTCCTTCGATTTTCTTTGCTGTAAAATTGGGTAGCGGGCGGGGGCGCGCGTTCATATTTGGCGTGCCCTAGCGGTTAGACCATTGACCAAGCATCCTCGGAAGGACCGCGCATTGTTCTCACAGGGAGGAGAGGGGGGGTGCCCTCATAGCCGCGGACGGGAGGGGGCGGGTTCCTCGCGTGCTTGCCCGCTGTCTCGATTGTTGGCCAGCGCGTCGTCCTTACTCCTACAGAGACACTGCCAACAACTTCTAGCGGGGGGAATTGCCGTTGTGTGATTTACACTAGCGACGCAGCCGCCATGAGTTGTGCTTGCTGTTGTGTGCACACATGCAAGAAATTGGAGCTTCCGTCCTTCAACAGAGAGCCAATTGCTGAGGGGAACAACAACATTGGCACCTCAAGTCATGTAAGGGTTGAGCTGTCGCACTCTCCTGCTTCCAAGACGCCAAAATGTTAATATGAGATATGGGACAACAAACAAAACACCAGTATTTAGTAACACCCGCCATCACATTCGGACGCGAAGGTGAGAAGATGAACCGACATGGTTCATTCAACGCACATGTGCTTCGTCGCTACCGTCTTGTGATGCCCGATGAGAAACCCTACGTAAACCTAGCATCTGATATGTATACACATAGCCGTCCGACCTCAGGCAACAAAAAATACAAGATTTTTTTCGAAATTTCCAAGCGTGCATCAGTTGCGCTACCTATCTCTAAGGTGCGTTGAACAGGACGCCTAAACGGAGGAATGCAACGCCTGGGGCTAGATGAGGGATAAGGGACAAACACGGGCTGGATAAGTACAATGAAACACACACAGCAAACCCTTGGTCGTTGGTGCGCAAGCTTCCTCCTGAGACGAGAAACGGGCAGCGTGCCTCTCATTCCGACTTGACATTGAGTGGATGTTGCTCTTGAAATACACGTTTTTTCGGCGGATGTCGCGCCGTAAAACAAGACTCGCCTCTGTCTCCTCAACGATGCGGGTGAGCTCCTCCTCCATCAACGCCTGCTCCCTAGCTATCTTCTCCTCGGCGGCCCTTTGCTCCCTCTCGATCTCCCTCAAGAGCGTCTCGCTTGCCCTCAGAGCCTGAGGGACCCCCGAAAACCAGTACAGAGGGAAAACAGACAAAATGGGGACCCCGCGAGTACGTAGGGGTGGGGTGGGGGTTACATGCAAATGGGAGGCCCCGGGAGTAGGTAGGGGTGGGGGTGGGTGGGTACATGCCTGAATAGCCAACCAACGGGAAGTACAACAAGAACGACCGAAGTAATGGTGAGAGGCACGTGCGGTGATGAAAGTATAGTAACCACAGGAAGCGAGGGGCAAGAGCTACGGCACCAGGCGTGAGGATCTGCTTCCTCCTGAAGGCGTTGGCACTTCGCGACCACTTCAACTGCACATGTTGTCGCAAGAAAGCAAACATGTCTTGGAAACATGAGCAAAATGCTGTCAAACGAGTAGTCTGTTGAAGTGATCGTATCGAAGAAAAGGCGCGACCAAAAGCGAAACAGGTGTTAGTAGACGCAGGGACGTGAAACTTGTGCTCCGCTCATCGTGACACTGGAGGGTCGGTGGGGGACGTTGAAATGGTTGTCCTGGGTGAGGTTAGATAGGTGTTCCCTGTTTACGGAAACCAACGCAGTAACCGCACAATCCGATCACCCGGTCACAAAATCGCAACATCAACTTTCCCGTACAACGCGCGGTCAGCAGTCTGTTGTTGCTCACATCCCTCGCCACCGACGTCGGTCGTAGGGCTGGCAGAGGCTCGTTGACGGCGCGGGCCACTTCCTGCGGAAGCTCGAAAGCCGGAGGCAAGCTGTCTCGCCTCACCTAGTAGTTGGCGGCACAAGCAGTCGCAAGGCACACGGAAATATGGGTCAAACTTGTGCGCAACGTCATAGGCACTCGTTGTGTACCGAAAGCGGCATCGGCTGTGGCCGAGCAAAGCACAAGAGCGACGTCGCATACGACGGCGTTCCCAGGAGACCATGTGGCGAAGCATGGTTCTTCGCTTGGGCACCCGCCGCCCCATCACAGTAGGCCCTGTGCATGCACGGGAGTGTGGTTTTGAGCAAACCTCCATCCCCCGGCGATATGTAGGCCCACACAAAATCACCCGTCCAGGAGCACCAAACCGAAGAAGTCGCAACTTGTCATTTCAGTGGGGTTCCCGGTTTAGCGACATGCCCTGTTAAGCGACCGCAAAATCACGTGTCTCAACGGCACTCCGGTAGCACAACTGCTATGCTATATAATTGGTACTTCGGTACAGCGATCTGCCCTGAATGGCGGCCACATTTCATCGTGACACTAGCGGTCGTTCAACCGCCCTGCATTCCCCCCTCCCCATCGGGGTTGGGTTTTCGTCGCTTGGCAACGACGTTGTAAAACAAGTCGATCACTTCGTGAACTCGGCGACCAGGTTACCGCTTTTTTTTTTGCCTTTTTTTCGCTTGCGGTAACCATGAACGGTGGTCGAGTAGATCGTGTTGTGCGGGGTCGAGAACCCTCACTTCGCGCAAAGGGGGAGAATCGCACCACGTTGTGTTAAAATGGTCAAGCACCCTCGAGGCAGTTACACGGTGCTTACAACTGTCTCTGGAAGTGAAAGCACCAGAAAATATATCAAGTCATACGCAGCTAGCTGTCATCCGTAGGCAAGGAAGTAATGCCGAAAAACCTTAGCAGGATGCAGCACGCCCTTCATGCGACTCGCCGAATATCTCACGGCGCTTCGCGCTTGGTGATGTGAGAGCCTGGTCCGGTGAGAACCCGGCGTGCTCCGTCCCGGCTCTGTAGGGATGCGAGGTCAAGGGTCTAACAACTGCGGCAGGCACGACTATGAGTACACCCCCCACTACTCTGCATCGACGTCAAGGTAGCGGTGAAGCAGAGCGAGATTCACGGTCTTGCCCGGAGTATATTCCGGAGGCCGGCGTGCGTCCCGCGCCCTCCACGGTACTTAATTTAGCACGGGATTTCCAAGCGCGCAACACATCGGAGGTGTAGACTACCCAATTCGCAGGCTTCGAACTAGCTAGATGCCGGCAGCGCGATGCAGGGGCATGTGCGACATGTGCGAGATACAGACGAGTTGCGACTAGCATGTGTATGGTCACTCATAGGTGTGCCTGTAGCGAATTATGCCGACATGCCATATTGATTTTGCAGCAGCAGCAGGTATGCTAACCGAAAGAGATGCGTGAGCATGCGAGATATAGAAATTGGGGTAAAGAACGGAAAGAACAGACTTCTAGAGCTACGCACCGACATCAAACTGAGCAAAAGAGAGCGTCAACCTGCCTTGTAGGCTACTGCCGTGTGTAGAATACTAGCTGGGCCAGCCAAGAAGCTAACAAAATGGTTGGAAGCCAGTCACACCACGATTTTTACGAGTTGGAAGCTGAATTTCGACATGTGATTCGTGTAAGTACAACAAATATAATGACACAGGCTTCCCTCGTTGGGGGGAGGCCCAGGTCGCAGTAGTCTTTACCAACTACAAAGGGCTGGCAGTTCTCTTCGTTGAGATTTAGAGAGAGGAGAGGGTCTCAGAAGAGAGAGACAAAAGAGAGAGTGTCCCGCCGAAGGGGCGAGGGAGACCAAGCCCGAGGGTCTCGGATTCCCAAGCGCCACAGGTGGGGCTAAGAGGGACGCATCCATAGTTGGGTCTCTTGCTGATCAACTATCAGTAAGATACTCCGTTCGGATCGAATCTTGGTCCTACTTTTGGATGTGCAACAACAATGGTTACAGCACTTCTACACCTGTCATCCACATCACCCCCTCCCTTTATGCGCCAAAAATCCATCGTTGCTAAGGATGTATTTATGGCGTTTCTGAGGCCTTGGGCAATATACATGGAAACAGGTGTTGAAGTATTGTCATACTGGTTGCAGCATCTTCAACCGTGCCTGAGTCAGATTTTCCGTGTTGAGAAAACACGAGTTCGTCAAGCTCAGTTAAAGATGTGGTCCATAGAAAAAGTACAGAAAATCATTAAAAAAAAAAATGAAGATGCTTTATCTCCTGCATGATTCTGCCGGAAGAAAATTTCCTCCGTTTAGCGTTCAGATATATATATAGGGTGGCCAAACCCTGATTGTGTTCAAGCAGTTGAATAGCAACCATGGTTTTAGCTACAAAACAGTTTGAAACTGATAGCTGAATATACCATGCTTGGGAAAAAAAAAAAATGGCCACAAAACAGTTAACCGATGTCACGGAAACTGGTAACTCATTTTACTCCTGCACAGTTTTATTTTCATCTCACGCGTGGATCAGGCGCTTGCTGGATGATTGTGCAAAAAAGGGCTGTTGTCACAAAATGACATTCACGGAAAATTGGTCGCGGGGACAACCGTGTTAACATCTTGATTCTATATTGTACTTGAATGGATCGTCGAAAACACACTCAAGGCATAACCGAGAACCAAGGAGTGGACGACGTAAATGGGGTGCCGGTGAGATCGATCTGTCGTTCGCTTGTTGAAACCGTAAAACGTATCCACACGTCGCGTGGTTTCCATTGGTTTGTTGAACAATGCTGACAGCAACAAAGTCATAAGACTCTCTCTCCTCGCCAGCGTTTTCCCAAGAACACTGACAAAAATAAAATAGGGTGTGCCAAAAACTGTACAAAAACCCCTGTTCACCGTCACTATCTCCATGTCCCGAGGGTATGGAAAAAGATAGTGTCAACGTGTCATTACTATCTCCATGTCACAAGGATATGGAATAAGATAGTTTTAACTCGTCCCCATGTTAAAAAAAAAATAACATAAAAATAAACAAAGTTGAGCTGCAGAGCAACGGCAGATAAAAATGTGAGGGCTCTATATCTGGCATTGTTGCTCAATTCCTTGCCTCGGTACGTCTTTGCTTCCTAGTTGGGCAGGGTGATGCTTCGTCCCCCTGCTTGTTGAGGGTGCGGACCGAGGTTGCTTTAGGAGGCGCGATATCCAAACCACAACGGATTCGGTGTGCAGCCATCATTTCTTGACATTGTGGTATTTCCTCTGCGCGGTATTCGAGGTCTGACTCCGGGCCATACCCTCGAAGACACAAACGGTATCGGTAATCAAAAGGAGTGCTCGGACCCCGACCACTTTTGTGGCTTACCACTTTGTCTACAACATAAGACTCAATTCTTGGTTGGGCCTCATCAGGGTGATCGACAGCGGGTAACGGAATCTGTCGCCCTAAAAAAAACTCAGCGAGTTTATCGAAGTCGGGCGCAGGAGGTGTTTTCCTCGCAAAAAAACGTTTAATATGGGCTAAGTGAACCGAAACCTCTANCATTTCTTGACATTGTGGTATTTCCTCTGCGCGGTATTCGAGGTCTGACTCCGGGCCATACCCTCGAAGACACAAACGGTATCGGTAATCAAAAGGAGTGCTCGGACCCCGACCACTTTTGTGGCTTACCACTTTGTCTACAACATAAGACTCAATTCTTGGTTGGGCCTCATCAGGGTGATCGACAGCGGGTAACGGAATCTGTCGCCCTAAAAAAAACTCAGCGAGTTCATCGAAGTCGGGCGCAGGAGGGGTTTTCCTCGCAAAAAAACGTTTAATATGGGCTAAGTGAACCGAAACCTCTAGAGTTTCTTTTGGGCGTCTCACTCGGTATACTACAGGTGATAGTTGCGAGCAGACCACGTGTCGTCCCCGCGAAGGTAACAGCAATTTCGGGTTTGGGCCATCGGAATCCTGATATGGTCTGTACACCAGTACTTGATCGCCAGGTTTAAACACGGGGATCGGTCTCAGTTTGGAGATACAAGCCGTTTGCGTGTTCGTACGCTCCGTTAAGCTTCGGCGTGCTAATTCGAAAGCAATTTGTAATTTCTCCCGTTTCGGTATTGGCTGTTGTTCTTACATGAGGAATACCGAGAATGATATGGAAAGGTAGTCGTGGTTGTCTACCAAACATGAGAAAAAATGGGGTTTCATGTATGGTTGCACTAAAGCAAGTGTTATGCGCCAGTTGTATGAAGGGTAGTAGCGATGGCCAATTATCGCGCTTCATTGAACTATGCATGGCAAGCATTGCGTGCATCGTTGAATGAAGCCGTTCTGACACAGAATTCCCTTGCGGACGATATGGTGTCGTGCGGGTTTCTTGTAGTTCAGAATACTCTGTAACTGGTGGATCACACTATTCTCAAATTCAGGCCCTGATCAGAATGCAACATTTCAGGCGATCCAAAAATCAAAAATGCCTATGATGCGGTCAATGATAGCCTGAGCAACTGTGACCGCTGATTTCTCCGGAATCGGAGTCAACACGGTGAATCGGGTTAGATGGTCCATCATGGAGAGGGCATATTTGCATCGTACGCCGGCGGCTGACACCGATTCGCTCTTGTATTCAACGAAGTCCACCGAAACTCGCTCAAACGGTCGTTGTACTGGTACGTGTCCAGTTGGCAGTTTGGTGCGATTGTGCGCGGTGTTCCGACGCTGGCATGCTTGGCATTCCTGACACCAAGTGCGAACGTCGCGACTCATGTTTGGCCACCAATATTTCTGGCGGCTGGATCTTGTCTTAAGTCCGTCTAGATGCTAGGTGACCTCCGGACAGAACGTGATCGTGGTAAGCGTGCAAAACTAAGCCCGTGAGAGCTTGCGGCAATACTAATTGATCAGTGAAAGTACTCCGTTTCCTGAGGTAACCTGGTGAATACGATTTGAACAGCAATCCGTCTCGTACAAAATAATAGGACATGGTTCTTGCTGTTTCGTTGTCCGGGACTCGTGCGTTTTCCCCCACAAGATAGTCGATGTATTTCCCATACTCGGCTGCTTGTTTTTTCCGCAAGATATCT